CCGTCTTCCCCTCTCTCTCTCTCTCTCTCTCTCTCTCTCTCTCTCTCTCTCTCTCTCTCTCTCTCTCTCTCTCTCTCTCTCTCTCTTCTAAAAATAAAAATATACATATCTATGTATGTATTATACACAATAAATTTAAATGTATATACGTACGCAGACGAGTGCGGCAGTACAACACGACAAGCGACGGGCGCATCGCCTGCGGATGCACGGACAGGACGACCGACGCAGGAGCAGAGGCGGCATCAGGACCTGTCGCTGATGGCTTTGGCGATCTCCAGCAATGCAGTGCACATCAACCTGTTAGCCTCGTCAGACGCCTCGTAGTGCCGCCGCTGGGCATCAACCTCACCCTCGAGAATGTCGCACCGTCGCTCCAGAATGGAACACTGTCGCTTGCTGGCCCCTTCCACGGTGTAGCCATCAATGCGCCGTGCTTGTCCATGACTTCAGCAATGACCTCGAATGTCTGCTGGCGCATGTTCTTCCTCTTGCAGTTCCGTCCTGTGCTGCCTACAGTGAAGCCAGACTCCCGCGCCCACCCTCCGTCGTCGTCATTCCCATCACCCCCGGCGGCGGATTCTCCAGCAACGGATGGGGAACGTGGCATCTGCAGTCCTTCACGGGCACTTGTGTCGGCGACGTTGTCCGGGTAGATAGTCTTGTTGCCCTTCGACATGGCGTCTATCTCATCGTACACGTGGTCCTCCATTATGAAGTTGAAGCCTTCTTCCGTTCTCAATGCAGGTGTGAGGTTGAAGAATTTCTTCCCCCCAGAGGCGTTCTGATAGTGTTGCACTTTCTTGTACTGCTGGAAGAGGTTGTCCCACTTCTTGCCGATGTCGTCAGTCGTCTTGTCCACCCCCACCTCCAGCAAACGCTTTTGAAAGTCCTGCAGCTTCCACTCCCTATTGCGCATTCGTCCGTAGTTGTGTGGCATGCCCTCGAAATGAGCTTGTTGATCCCTCTTTGCCCGGGCGAGCTTCATCATCTCCTCAATACTCCATGACGGATGTTTCCAAGCCTTCTCGCCTGGCGGACCCTTCGAGCGGCGACCACCATGGGAAACAGCCTTCTCTTGACGCACGCCTCCACCTCTTCCTTTGCCACGCACAGACATGCCACAGGGATGTTAGTCCCACAGGGGGTTGCAGACACCTCGGATTGAGTTGTAGCCAATAAGAAAACTGACATCATCCCAAGTGGGGCTACACCAGTAGGAAATAGGAGTTCGGCAATAGGGAAGGGACTTTTTTTTTTGGCGGGGGGGGAAAGATATTCACGCAGCCCTAAGGGAAAGATGTTGCTCTGGAATAGGAACGCTAACGACACAGGCCCAACAATTCATTACAGTGGACAGATGTATCCAAGGGATGCTGGACCCGTTTTTCAGCAGATGCTGCTCCCGACCAATAGATGGAGCCTCCCCGGTGGTGCTAGAGGTGTCTGCTCATATCAGCACCTCTAGCATTCACTCCGGGTGTTTGCCCAAAAAAAATAAAAAAATCAGAAGGGGATTGTTGATTTGACATGTTTTCATGTTTGTCGTGCCTGAGGTGATCAACCCGAATGCTGCTCCCCTGAACGGAAAAAAGAAGGGCTTATAAATTGGGTTTAAAGGGGTGTGCCCTCGTTTGCTATTTCTATTTTTCTCCTTATAACCCCCTTCACCCCCATCCCAATTTATAAGCCCCTTCGCCCCCATCCCAATAACCCAAACGCTGCTCCCCGGAAAGGACAAAAAAAGGGCAAGAGGGCTGCTTCAAGGGATATATACTGTCTTTTTTTTTTGGGGGGGGAGGGGGGGTTAATATATTGTCCTCTCTCGGGTGATATGTTGTATTTCTATGTAGTCAGTACTCTATTATAACATGTAATTAGCTCCATATAAATTATTTTCCCCAGTTACCGAGCACGCCCTACCGGGCAGCCAGGCAACTCGCCAAGGAGGTATCCCACCCGGGTCAGTCAATCTCGACATGTCAAAAGTCCAGGATCCTTCTTTTTTGGGGGGGCCTTTCCATGCTTAGGGCCGTACGTAGGCCGTTTTTGTGCCCAACAAGAGCAGCTCAAATCCACGCTCTTTGTTTTTTCCGTATTGTCGCTGGGATAGGGACGAAGGGGCTTATAAATTGGGTTTAAACTTACAGGGTTGTGGCCTGGTTTGCTATTTCTATTTTTCTTCTCATCTCTGAGTCAATTCGGGAATGCTAAGCGG